TTTGAGAAATTCTTCCTGTTCAAGCCTGACACTCCCTACAGAAGCCTGGCCTCTCTCTCCCACAGCCCAATTCTCCAACCAGACCGGGGACAATCGGGGTCAGGGCCTGTCCTGGCCCAACTCTTAACTCTCCCCAGTCGGTGTCCACAGACTCTGTGGGTGCTCACAGCCCCCATGTGTTTGCCACTTAGTTCTTATTCCCCTCTCAGGGACTCCAAGCAACCAGGTCTCTCCCAGTGCTGCTCAAACCTTGTTTGACAGGGGACAGAGCCACTGACTTGACTCTCTCCCAAGAACCCTGTGGCAGACACAGCAGGTGCCCAGCATGGGGCAGCAGCTGCTCTGGTCCCCAAGCTGGTCCTGGGGACCTTATTGTCCTGAAGCACTTTTCTTACCATCTGGTTTTTTAATGTCCTCTATAATTTTTGGTCTCCTATTTTCATATATGCTGGGGTACTACTGCCTGTTCACTCTGTTCCTCAGTAGATCAGCTAGGTGTTTCATGACTATGTAGAGGGAAGTGGGCTCCACTCCCACCTACCTCACCACCACCTTCCTCCTCAAGTTCATGGAGTAGTTTTTTAAAAGTGCTTCCTCACATTCTCAAAAAGTCCTGGTTGGGATCACAACTTACACAATCATTCTAGTCAATGACAAGTTGACAAAATTTTTAAAATGTCATTGATGTGACAACATCATACCAAAAAGGAACTGGGGCAAACACTAGATTAATTTTGGAAAAAATGTTTTAGTTTAATGCCCTTGAACACATTGACCAGTAGTGACCTGACCTATTCAGGCATTTATAGTTTCTGCAGTAGGGACCTTACCAATGTGTCTCATATTTTTACAGTGTATGGAGAGGTTCATTTTTAGAAAATAACAGCATGAAAGGGGAACTAAGGAAAGCAGATGTGTCTGTGTACACATCAGGTATCAATAAAGATAAATCACAGGAGCTCCCTGAGCTAGCAGGTCTCATCTCTGCTCTGTTTCTGCCATAGCATTTCCCATATTCCTTCCTGAGGAAAGAACCCAGGGGGAGAATGAGGCGCTTCTCTGTCCACTGGGGAACATTGCAGCATGTCTTTGGAGAGTCTACCAGATTTGTTTCCTCTAAGGAACAATTTTTGAGGGGATAAGACATATATACAGGATAATATATCACAAAAAGCTTTGTTATGTTTGTGCCACAGTGACTGGATGTTGAAGTGCAAATTAATATAGGTTGGGGGTAGGCAGAGTGTGTTGAGAAAGAGGATGCGGAAATTGTAAGACATTAAACTAGACTTTGAAGGCTGGAGGGGCATTCAGTTGATGAAGAGATAGAAGAGAAGAATTAAAGACATGGGAAGAATTTATCAGTAGAGATTTTAAGCCCTGTGAATAGCAAAGTACCTGGGATCTTCATTGGATCAGTCTGGAAGGAAGATTAATGTAGAAGCTGGGTACATAATAAAATCAGAAAAGTATAGATACTGGAGGCAAGAAAACTGGGAAGGAATCAGTTAAAACCCATTCAGATGCTAGATAAAAAGAACCTGGGTACAAGACAGTGGCAATAAGTGTGCAAAAGACAGTGTGATGGTGAGAAAGGATGGCTAACTGGTTGGGGAGGCAAAGCTGGAAGAACACTGAAAGATAAGGTTTCAATGGGATGAACATGAAAATAAATTGTGCCCTGTTACAGAAGTAAGAAAGTAGACAAATGGGACTTTTTTTTGATAGCTGTGGTAAGGATCAAGAGAGAGGAATACAAGGGAGTAGAAATGACAGCAGATTATAGATAAGAACATGCACCAGGAGAAGGCCACATGTACAAGCCATGTCACTCTTTGACATAGAATGCTATAAAACATACATCTCTGTGTCTATCTGTCTATGATTTATCTATCTTGAACAGGGAAGGAGAACTGGCCTTACTTTCCTTCCTTCAACATTTTCAAGTGCCTCACTCCACCATGGGAATTATTAACACAATGAATTCTTTGTCTTTACTGAGATCACAGTCCATAGTATGAGGCCAACAAGTAAGTGGAATTGGCAGAATCGTATTTTGGTGTAGTGATCAAGGTGGGGTGCCCCCTGCCCCTGGCCTTTCTCCTATTGCTCCCTTGTTCATAGTAAAATAGCAACAAGGGCAGGAATGATACAGCAGGGAAGGAAAACCAAACCTTTAAATCCAAAAATTGAGTCTTAAAAATTTAGAGTCCAGAGCTTAGAGAAACCTCATCCTTTTGAGTATCAAAAATCAAAGTTGACACCAAAAACAATAAATGATGATAATGTGAGAGCCAGTCCCACTGCCCCAGTAAGAATGTGTTGGACTGCATTGGAGTGGGGCAGGAGGACAAGGCTCAGGGAAAAAGAGAGCTGAGAAGGAAGGGCACCTTGCTCCATACTCTGGAACTGAGTTCTTGGGGCAGGGGTTTGGGAGATGGTGTAGAGGCAGACCCAGCAGAGGTTTGGAGCTTTGCAAGCAGAAGGTCCCCACTTTCCATTTCTTTTGAGAGGTAGCAAGTCTTGTAAACCAAATGTCCACCTTCTCCAAACTTTCCCAGGGGCATGGATGGTGAGGAAGCAATAAAGGCCAACTTGGTTGGCAAGAATTTCTCAGAGCACCAGAGCCACAAGGCAGACAGAGGTGGGAGTCTGAAGAGGGTTGGTGGCTAGAGGTTGGAAACAGCAGGGTAGTACAAGAACCAAGGACTGAGATTAACTGCGGCTGCTGACATGGGGAGCGGATGCAGGTGACTGAAGGCTGTGGGATGATGGCATTTCAACCAATGCCAGTATGGACAGAGGTTAACTGATAACCATATGCCACATCCTCACTGATAGTGGACCAATGGGATCACCCCTACTATCACTCCAAAACTTACTGGTAATACAGGAGTCCCTGAACTACCTAGAAAAGCCTGATTTATCTCAGTTCAGAATGAACTGAGATGAAATTTAGGCCACTAGGTATACTAAAGACTTGGCAAGATTTAAACATTATCCTTTTATCGATCTGAGTTTGTGGACTGAGATTATGCTTGCTTCAGGATAACTGCAGTGTAGTGTGACAAAGGCAGATGGAGCCCTGGGTGCTCTATGAGGACAAGTAAGAGGTCTATCCAGTCTGATGAGGTTGGAGTGAACAATGTGCCACACTGAGCAGAGTACTGTGGGGTGAAGGAGAGCAGTGGTGAGGGGTGAGGTAAGGGACCCCCTTCCTAGCCAACCCCTAATGGCCACAGTTCAGGGAGTGATAAAAATGAGGCTGCCAAGTGAAATGCAATGGGTTGACTGGGTCAAACCCAAAAGCCCTTTCACATGCAGTACATTCCTGAGGTTTGAAGAAGAGGAATGACATTTTCATTTCAGAACAACCATTCTGGGTGAATGTAAAGAAAGGACTGGGGACTGGCTAGCTAACTAGCTGCTTCTGGAGGCTGTTTTTCATTCTGCCTCCTGTCTTATCTTTACTACTGATACCACAGTGATCCTAATCATCCCAAAGCCTGCACTGCATCAGAAAAGAGGAAAGCGCTTCTTTCCAAGTTTTATAAAGTGACAATCAACAAAGAGTCCAGAAATAAGTGTTTGGGAAGTAAAAGTTACTGTTAGTATCAAAATTGGTGGAGTTTTAATAGCCCAGTCTTAAGTTTAGAAAACAAAATAAGCTGGTGTGATATAGCACATAGAAATGTCTCCTACACACATATGCACACACCTAATATTCTATATTTAGTGTTACTGAGAGGGAACTTTATAATAAACTGAGAAATGTGTATACTTTTATTTACTCGAAGTTTACTTTAAAATAATGATTGAGATATTTATTGAGAACTCAAAGATTCTCAAAGATGAACAAACAAACTAGTATAAAATCCTTTTGGCTAAAAAAGGCAAAATAAAACTGCTATCACAAAACAACTTTGAACTTGGCTGTTTCACACTCAGAGAATGGCTTTCTTTCAGGGAGGATACGAAACATGCACTTTGCAATGACGTTCTTCTTTTCTAATATAAGTGGAAGTAGCTTAGCTTTCTATTTCTGATTCAAATTAGATTTACTTGTGAGTTTGTTCATTTTTTGTTGTTGTTTTTATTGTGATAGAAGGGCTTCTTTGGTTAAAACAAAAACAAAAACAAAAACTGAAAACTAACTTTGTAGCAGAGAGACCACTAGTCTTGGGAGAAGAGAATACTGAGATGACTGAGAGTTACATTCAGTAACAACAAAGGAATTTCCAGTTCTAAATATTTAAGAATACCAGAAAGAGTCTGTTATCTAATAGAGAATATCCTTTTTAACAACAATGCAATGAGATGCACTGCACATTTCCTCAGAGTTTGGCCCTATGATTGTTCAAAGTGGAGCCTTGTGTTCTGAAGTAAGGCAGTCACCTCTGCCACTGTGATAACATCTCCACATTTTGGTTTCTTCACCAGCAGACTGAGGGATATAATATCTTCTTCTTGGGGTTCCATGAGAATTAAGTAAGTTGTTGCTAAGGGAAATGCCTGCACCAGTATTGGGGTTGGTATGTGCTCAGTACTCATTAGCATCCTGCCCTCTTCACCAAAAAACTGAAGCAGAAAGCTGCATTTATTTCTCTCCATGGAACTAAGAGAGTGGGGACATTGAGTATATATTTTTCATGTTTTTTCACCCTTTAAGGGCTGGCAATATATCCCAGTATAGATGAAGCTAATAACAAGAAAACAGTCACAAGTTTCCATTCTCTCTCTCTATCCTACGCTAAGTTATACAAGGGCAGAGAAAGCACTAGAGAAGAAAAACATCATTAAGCCCATCCTCTGGCATCAGACAGTCCCATTTCTCCTGAGAATCCTTCAGAGTATCTATAATAGGACTCATTTCCTCTGGTTGGGCAAAACCTAAACACAACCCATCACATTCCAGGGTGCTGGGAGTCTGTTCTGTTCCTCAAGAGGGTGCCAGAATTCTTGACTGAAGCTGTTCAACCCAATAAATAAAGAGTCTTCCATGTGGGGAGAGGTAACATTTATTCAATCAACAAATGCTGAGTGCCTGCCAGGACCACTGCTAGTCATTGGGATACATAGAACATGTGATCAGTCAACATGAAACTGCATGACATCAGCATGCTCATGTCATGCAGATGCCACTGAATAAGTGACAGTGTGCACAATGTTTCATTAAACACCTATTGACATAATAACAACAGCTGATGACATTACAAAAAGACAAACTCAGATGCAAGAACTGCAGAGCATACAGACCAAGGTCCAACGCAGCAGGAGCTAGCTGGACAGCAACATGGGTGATGCTTAGACAGCTGGGGACGACCCCTGACAGTTCACTTTAGGAATGAACAATTTTACTATGATTTAAAAATTTCTAATTCCCAAACTGATGTTTCCATTCCTCAATAAAGAGTGAGCCAAACAAATGATGAAATATTGACTGTGAATCCAACTATTTCATGCATGGATGGGGAAAAATCTAACATCTTTATCAACTGCAAAGAGAAAACTCTAGTAGACAGGTAAAGATGACAAAAGTTTTTCTGAGCATAACATAAACATACAAAACTCAGCAAATGCTTCTGTTGTTGCAAACACTATCTTCAAAAAGAGTGGTGAGGAAGATACTGACAATGGGACAAAGCTATTTTTTCATCTCCAAAATGGCACTTCCTGGTCCACGGTGCTTAGCGCTGCAGATGTTGCAGAACTGTGCAGGAGAGGTCTAAAATATAATTTAAAAACACAGATAAAAAAAACCTTTTGTTTCTACTTTCATATTCAGAAATATTATGGGAGCATGAGTCAGGGGACAGGGAGGATGCTATGAAATGTCATTTCTTTTCCTTGAGATTATTGCTGATTCACATAGGATTCCATTTAGAATAGCTGTTATTCAAAGAACACCCCACAGAAAAACAAGTCCAATGTGACAGAGAGGAACATGACACTAAAAGAGAGCAGGGCCATGATGCAGAAATTAGGTTGAGAGCTGTACAAAACATCAAATGGTTTACTGTATCATGTCTCCATAGCTCAACAGTCATCAATTTTACCTGAGTAAATTCACTTCAATGAATATGATTTTATAATGCTTAGTTTAATAAACATTTTTATGTTTGAGTATTAGATGAATTAATTTTCCTAACATGATATAAAACTCTATTATAATTTTGGGAACTCAGAGAACCATAGGATGACAGGCTACAATTTTGAGCACATCTACAGAATTGACTGCATCAATTTCTCTTTAGTTAATGGCGGCTAGCTGCCAACTCACCATGCTGGGCACGGGCAGGCACTCCTTGTGGAACATATGCCGGCAATGGAAGACCACCACACTGAAGAGCTTAGCTGCGTCTGGGGGCAGAGGGCAGAAAAGAGAGAAAGACTCAATGCAACAAGCAGATCAGAAACTTACAAAACCAGTCTTTTTTTTTTTTTCCCCCATTCTCTCATACCCTTCCCTTTGGCAACTGTCAGTTTTTTTCTATGTAGATCTGTTTTGTTTATTCATTTTTTAAAAAGATTCCACATATTAGTGAAATTATATGGTATTTTCCTTTTTCTTTCTGACTTCACTTAGCATAATATAATACCCTCTAGGTACATCCATACTGTTGCAAATGGCAAGTTTTTTTTTATGACTAATATGCCATTGGATATCCCACATCTTCTTTATCCATTCATCTATTTATTGATGGATACCTAGGTAGCTTCTATATCTTTGCTATTGTAAATAATGCTGCAATGAACATAGGGGGTACCTAAGTCTTTTTGAATTCATGTTTCTTTCAGATCAATACCAAGTAGTGGAACTGTTGGATCATTCAGCAACTCTATTTTTAATTTTTTTTCAAGGAATATCCATACTTTTTTCCACAGTGGCTGCACTGATTTATAATCCCAACAGTACAAAAGTGTTCCCTGTTTTCCACATCCTGGCCAAAACTTGTTATTCATTGATTACTTGATGATAGCCATTCTGACATATGTGAGGTGATATCTCATTGTGGTTTTAATTTGTATTTCCCTGATGATTAGTGATATTGAGTATCTTTCCATATTTCTGTTAGATATCTGTATATGTCCTCCTGAGAGAAACGTATAAAGAGGTCCTCTGCCCATCTTTTAATCAGACTGTTTGGTTTTCTTAGTGTTAAGTTGTGTAAGTGCCTTATACATTTTAGATATTAAACTCTTATTGGACATATCATTTGCGAGTATCTTCTCCCATTCAGTAGGTTCTTTTTATTTTGTTTATGATTTCCTTCAGTTTAACAATTTTTTTCAGTTTGATGTAGTCCCACTTGTTAATTTTTGTTGTTGTATACATTCCAAAAGATATTGCTAAGAGCAACGTCAAAGAGTTTATTGTATGTTTTCTTCTAGGAGTTTCAGGTCTTAAACTTAAGTCTTTAATCCATTTGGAGTTTATTTTTGTATATGGTCCAGTTTAGAAAGTGGCCCCATTTCATTTTTTTTGGCATGTATATGTCCAGTTTTCCCAACACCTTTTACTTAATGAGACTGTTTTTAGCGCATTGTATATTTTTGCTTCCTTTGTTATAGATTAATTGATCATATAAGCAAGAGTTTATTTCTGGGCTATTTTATTCCATTGATCTATATGTCTGTTTTTATGCCAGTATGCACTGCTTTGATCATTTTAGTTCTGTAGTAGTTTGAAATCTGGGAGTATGTCACCTTTCCCTTTGTTCTTTTTCAAGGCAGGGCCTTTTGTGGTTTCATATACATTTCTGGATTACTTGTTCAAAGAAATATGCCACTGACATTTTTAATAAGGATTGTAGTGCATCTGTAAATGACTTAAGATAGTAGTAAAGACATTTTACAATTACTAATCTTTCCACTCCATGAGTGTGGTATATCCTTCCATTTATTTGTTATCTTCTTCAATTTCTTTTAATATCTCACAGTTCTCTCTGGACAGGTCTTTCACCTCTTTGGTTAAGTTTATTCTGAGGGTTTTTTAAATGTAACTGTAAATAGGATTTTCTTAATTTCTCCTTCTGGAGAAATTAATTCATTACTGGTTAATGAAACAGTAAAAAATTCTGTATAATGATTTTTATATCCTGAAATTTTACTGAACTCACTTATTAATTCTAATAGTTTCTTGGTAGAGTCTTTAGGGTTTTCTATGTAAAGTATCATGCTATCTGCAGATAATAAGAGTTTTATTTCTTCCTTTCTGAGTTAGATGCCTTCATTTCTTTTTCCTGCCTGATTGTTCTGATTAGGACTTCCAGGGCTATGTTGAATAGAAGTGGTAATAGTGAGCATCCTTGTCTTATTTCTGATCTTAGAGGAGAGGCTTTCAGCTTTTCACCACTGAGTACAATATCAGCTGTGGGTGTGTCATATATAGTCTTTATAATATTGAGGTAAGTTCTTTCTATACCCACTTTGTTGAGAGGAGTTTTTATCAGAAAAGGATGTTAAAGTTTGTCAAATCCTTTTTCTGCCTCTACTGAGATGATCCTATCATTTCCATCGTTCATTTTGTTACTGGGGTTGATTGATTTACATATAATGAAGCCTCCTTGCATCCTTGGAATAATCATACTTGGTCATGGGGCATAATCCCCTTAATGTATACTTCATCTGGTTTACTAGTATTTTGTTGAAAATTTCTGCATCTATGTTCATCAAGCATACTGGCCTCTAATTTTCCTTTTTTGGTAATGTCTTTGGTTGAATTTGGAAGTGTTTCTTTTACTATAATTTTTAAAATAGTTTAAGAAGAATGAGTATTAATTCTTCTTTAAATGTGTGGTAGAATTCCCCTGTGAAGCCATCTGGTCCAGGACTTTTATTTGTTGGGAGTTTTTTGATTATTTGCTCAATTTCATTACTAGTAACTGGTCTGTTTAGATTTGTTATTTCTTCCTGTCTTGTAAGAAATTTATCCATTATGTGTCAAGTTTGTTGGCATATAATTTTTCAAAGTATTGTTTAATGACTCTTTGTATTTCTGTGGTGTAAGTTGTTAACTTCTCTTTCATTTATGATTTTATTTACTTGGCCTCTCTTTCCTTTATTCTTGATGAATTTGGTTAAAGGTTTAATTTTATCTTTTCAAATAACCAACTCTTAGTTTCACTGAACTTTTCTATTGTTCTTTAAATTTCTATTTTGTTTATTTCCATTCCAATCTTAATTATTTCCCTCCCACTGTTTACTTTGGGTTTTATTTGTTCTTCCCCCCCCCCCCCCAGTTCTCATAGATGTAGAGTTAGATGGTTTATTTGCGATTTTTCTTGTTTCCTGTTGTAGGCCTGTATAGCTATGAATATCCAACTTAGAAGTGTTTTTGTGGCATTCCATAGTGTGTTTAGAAAAGTGGTGTTTTTATCTTCATTTGTGTCAAGGTGATTTTGAATACCTATTTGATTTCTTTGATCCACTGGCTGTTTTTTCATGTACTTTAGTTTTCATGTATTTGTGTTTTTTTCTCCCAGTTTTCTTTCCATAGTTGATTTCTACTGTCATGCCATTGCAGCTGGAAAAGATGCTTGATAATGATTTCAATCTCTCTGAATTTACTAAGGCTTGCTATATGGCCCAATATGTGATCTATTCTGGAGGAGGATCCAGAAAAGAAAAATTGCACTTGAAAAATTGTGTATTCTATTCTCAAGTTTTTGGATGAAGTGTTCTATAAATATCTATTAAGTTGACCTGGTCTAATGTGACACTTAAAGCTATTATTTCCTTATTAATTTTGTCTCAATGATCTATCTATTGATGAGAGTGGAGTATTAAAGTATCCTCCTATTACTGAATTTCTCCTTTTATCTATCTATTAACTTTTGCTTCATATATTTAGTTTCTTCAATGTTGGGTCACAGATATTTGTGATTGCTATAGACTTTTTTTTTTGATTGACCATTTTACAATTATGTATTTCTTTGCCTTTTTGTTACATATTCTATTTTAAAGTCTATTTAGTCTGATATGAGTATTGCTACCCCAGCTATCTTTTCATTTCTAATTGCATGAAATATCTTTTACCATTCCTTAACTTTCAGTCTGTGTGCCCTTTGATTTGAAGACCCTTGTAGGCAGCATATAGATGAGTCATATTTTTTAATTATTCATCCCCTCTGTGTCTTTTTTAAAAGTATTTTCTATTTCATGTGTTTATTTTTTAGAGAGAGTGTAGGGATGGAGAAAGAGAGGGAGAGAAACATTGACTTGTTGCCTCTTGCATACCACCAACGGGGACCTGGCCCACAACCCAGGCATGTGCCCTGCCTGGGGATCAAACTGGCAACCTTTCTATTCACAGGCCAATGATCAAACCATTAAGCCACGCCAGCCATAGCACCACTCTCTTTTTATTTGAGCATTCACTACATTTTACACTTAAATTAATTATGATAACTATGTGCTTATTGCCATTTTGTAAATGTTTTTGGTTGTTTCTATAGTTGTGTTCTTTCCTTTTCTTCTCTTGTTCTTTTCCCTTTCGGTTTGCTGATTTTCTTTAGTTTCTTGTTTGAGTTCTGTTCTCTTTATTCTTTGTGTCTTTTGTAGGTTTTTGGTTTGTGGTTGCCAATAGGTTTATGTATATCATTCTATATCTATAGCAGTTTATTCTAAGCTGATAGATATTTAAATCTGAATATACTCTAAAAGGACTATATTTGTATACCCCTCTCCATGCTTTAAGTTTTTGATGTCATATTTTAGATGTTTTTGTGTTATGTATCTTTGAACTATTTATTGTAGTTTGAGTTGAGTTTGGTACTTTTATTTTTTGACCAAAAGGCAGTAGCTTTTTAAATGTCTGATTTGCTACATTTATTAACTATTTGGCTTTACCTGTGATATTTTTCTTTTCTCATATTTTCTTATTTCTGGTTAGTGTCTTTCCTTTTTACTTAAAGCAGACCCTATAACATTTCTTGTAGGACTGGTTTAATGGTGATGAATTCCTGTATTTTATGTTTGTCAGGGAAACTCTTTTCTCATCTTCAGTTCTGAATTACCTTGCTGGGTAAATTATTATAGGTTGTAGGTTCGTAGGTTCCTTTCTTTCAGTACTTTAAATATGTCCTGCCACTCCCTCCTGGTCTGGAAAGTTGAGGCTGAGAAATCAGCCTTTTGGGGTTTCCTGTTTTCAAGATTGCCACTTTATACTTTACCAATATAATTACTATACGTCTTGGTATGGGTCTCTTTGGGTTTATCTTATTTGGAATTCTCTGTGCTTCCTGAACCTGGATGTGTATTTCCTTTTGCAGGTTAGGAAAGTTTTCAGCTGTTATTTCTTTAAATAAAGTTTCTGTTCTTTCCTTTTCCTTCTGGAACCTCTATAAATGCAAATGTTTGTGTGCTTGATGTTATCCCAGAGGTTCTTTAAACTATCTTTGTTTTTTAAAATCTTTTTTCTTTTTACTGTTCTGATTGATTTCCACTAGTCTGTTTTCCAGGTCACTGATTCATTCTTCTGTATAAGCTAACCTATTATTTATGTATTTTTCATTTTAATTATTGTGTTCTTCAGTTCTACCTGGTTCTGTGTTATGCTTTCTAAGTTTTTGTTGAAGTTCTCCGTAAATTCCTCTATTTCACTCTCAAGTTGGTGAGCATCCTTATGATTGGTTCTTTGAATTGCTTACTGGGAAAATTACTTGCCTCCATGTCCTTAAAATTTTCTTCTGGGGATTTTTCTTATTCCTTCATCTGAGAGGTATTATTCTGATTTTTTCATTTAGTTTGATTTTCTATTTTGTTATATAAAGACAAAATAGCCATCTCTCCCAGTCATGAAAGCAGTGGCCTTGTATAGAAATACCTCTCTGTAGGGTGTGTCTGCTGGATCGTTTTAGCAGGCCAGCTGGAGCAAACAAGAGCCTACAGTGTCCAGGGCCCTCGCCTATAGTGCTAGAGCAGCTCTGGGTGGGGAGGCTAGGTGAAGCAACTTTGTCTGGAGCTGAAAGAGCTCAAGTGACGTGTCAGGGAATACAGTGTGGTGACCTTGCAGCTGGGCCAGAGCACTTGAATATAGCTCCTGGCCACCAAATGGAGCTGTGAGGGTGGGGGGTGGTATGGAATGTAAGCAATGGCGCTCACTAGGCCCCTGGCCCAGACATTTTCCATAGCTGCTGGAGAGCTCCTGTGTTTCCCAGTTTTTTCCATTTGGTCTCTTTTTCTAGTTTGTTGGTCAGAAGCTGTTCATTCAGCACTCATTGTCTCTCAGGAGTAACTGCTCTCTATGTATGTGTATATTTTAGTTTGCTCGTAGAAGGAGGTGAGTTCAGCGTTCTACCATTGTTGCCATCTTGAATCTATATCTTAAAACAGTCTTTTTTCCCCATCTGTTAGCATACTTTTTATAAAATTAATTTAAATTTACCACAGTGACACTGGTTAATAAAATTATAGAGGTTTCAAGTGTACAATTCCATAATATATCATCTGTATACTGTATTGTGTATTCAGCAGTCAAACCAGTCTTAATGAAAATCCAGCTGTAGTTAAATCAACTGCTTTAGAAGGATTGCTTATTTATAAATGCATTCCTGAGTTGGGGTGGTAGTCAAATGAAAAATAGATATTCTATTCATGTTGCCATGTGAGTCACAGGTTACTTGCTTGGCTTTTATGCCATTTACTACAACAACAAACTGGGGAAAGTTCCATAAGCAAATTTATCCATGTTTAACCATATTAATCATATTAGAGCCAGTACATGTTTGTGCATCCTCTCCTCCTGAACCCTGCTCCTACACAGAATTGTTACATTCCACATAGTGAGGTCAGTTTTGTGGCTTTATGAAAATGCTTTCTGCCTGTTCACCTACTATCTTTGTCAAGACCATCTTCTGATTTCAGGGCAGAACTTGGTTAAACTGTAGGCTGTGACCTTGCATTGTATCTCACTTCTGCAGGAATTTAATCTAACTGTACAGTGCCAGTGTATACAGTCTCTTTCTGTTAAAATGCTGCCTAAAACACTATGGAAGCTCACTTCTTTCCCTGTGCCCACTGCAGTTTGTAACATAAACAGTTAAAATCCAAACGTATTTATTTCTTCTAGAAAAGGCCCTAAGTGGAAAAACTTTTCATGCTCCTGCCATATTTTTCATGCTCCTTATAGCTAAGTAAATGCTACATCAACTAGATCATTCAGTATTTCTCTAAGATGAATTTATATTAAAACAACAATAACAAGAAAGATTTTTTTAGTATCCTGACAATGTTCTTTAATTTCTACTTTTAAATGACAGACTTTTCCTCTTCTCATGTCAGATTATCCAATGTAAGATGATTTGATTATACATGAAGATAAATAAACCACAAATTATAAACAAATGTTTATGTCTCTTAAGAAGTCACCATTCCAATTAGATGGGGAGGGGTGTGGTTAATTATGTTTCCATTGACATGCGAGGTAATTTGGATGCCAAAACCATATAAGAGAGAAAAGGTTTTAAAAAAGGGAAAGCCATATAAAAAAATTTCCCACATACACACATTGTTCTTCAACCTTGGAATTTAAACACATTGACAGTAAGTTTTATTTTGTTTTACTCTATAGCAGTGCTTTGCAAAGAATGGCCCCTGAACCAGTAGCATCAACATTGTTTGGGAACTTGTTAGAAATGCAAATTCTCATGTCCTACCCTGGAAATACTAAATTGGAACCTCTGTGAGTAGGACCAGCATTCTGGGCTTTAACAAACATGTCAGGTGATGCTGACTTACTCCACAGTTGAAGATCCTTGGTTCTAAAGAATGGCACAATCAGCAGGCAACTGAGTAGAGATGTGGGCTGAAATTATTCTGTAAACTGGATTATTCTGAAAGTTATATAATTTTCTTAAAAATTCACTCATCATTAACACATATTGGGGATTTTTGCCCCTCCCAAGCATCTTACCTGATGGAAGAATAGGGGAAAGGCACGATTCACAAATGTTCTCCTCTGCAAGGAAACGCATACACTTGAGATTACACAGTGTTTCTGGTTTCTACTTGCTCTGTCTCTTCTGAAAGCTAGACATATAGTTCCATATGATTATTGCAATTTTACCCACCATCGACCAGAATGCCTTTCATCTGAGTACGATGCATTTTCTTCAGTAAAGACAGAGAGTCAGCTACCAGAATCTTCTTGCAGCCTTCACGAAGCAGAATCTAATGCATACATTGTAAGAGAAAAGCCATCTTAAAAAGATTCAAGTATCTGGGCTGGGGGGGAGGACCCTCTCACTGGGCCCTCAGAAAACTGGTGTCATTAAAATACTTCAAAGAGACCCACCCTGGCTCCTGCCCACAGCACCCTCCTCCCTCCAAACCTTTGTCAGACCCACCTTGCTAGCTTCCATTTGGGTATGACTATACAATTTTTCTTAGCAACATATCATGGTTCCTGCAGTGCTTGTAACAAAAATTCCAATTCCAAAGTCTGACGCAAAAGGCCTTCTATTAACTACCTCTATTGTTTTATAGGTCTTCCTAATACAGATTCTCTGGAACAGAGTTTGGCCCCTATGTGACCTGCTGATTCCAAACCCCAGATCTTTGCCCAGGATGGAAAACCTGCTATTCCCAAATCATTTATTTCATAAAGCCATCTATTTACTACACAAATGTTTTACTGTACTGGATTTCTATCATATATTAGGCATAAGACATGGTGTAATAAATTAAACAGACATGATTTCTGTCCTAAGTCCCCTCTAGGGTACTAACTGTTCCGTTCTCTGCAAATCTGACCCAAACCATTTGGCAATTAATGTAGTATATTAGTGTAATGGACTATATCAACCCCAAAATTTAATGAGTCTGAAGTGTCTGGCAAGTGAAAAAAGACCACAGATATTACATATTCTGTCACAAGATCATTTTCTTACTCTTCATTCCAGCACTGTACTTTGTTCCTTCCTACATGTTCGTTACTCCAGAGGCTTATTTCCTTACTCTCTGCCTGAAGAATGATGCAAGCTAACACTTCAGCACCCTCTGAAGTCAGGATGCAGACAGCAGAGGTCAAACACCTGGTTTTTGATTGATACCAACTTCATGTTGCAGAGCTGGGGAAACAAAACTGCCCAACTGCTTTTAGGCAGGTAAGCAGCAACCCACCTTATTTTTGAAACCCATTCTGTTGGGCATAGTGTGAGTTCACACTCTTTTCTGAGTTTTCTTTGGTATTTTATTAGAAATTGAGAGATGCTGTATGAGGTGTGCTTAAGCCAGATGACATTTTTTTTAACCCAAACTCCCTGCTTTTCAAAGAGGGAAATACTCGAGACCTAAAGGGCTGAGCGGGTCTCAGGCAGTGTCTGCAGCATCCCAATGTCTTCTGTGCAACTCCATGTAACTGCCATGGAAACTCACATGATGACACTGCTACCTCACTGCAGCCAGCTTTGCATCACCACAGTTTGCTTTCTTATGTTTTCAGGTAAAGGAAGTGAGAGACTGGCCAACTTGGAGCTCCATCCTTAGTCATCTGCAATAACAGGTGCTCCTCTCAAATCACAAAGAGCACTGACTTTGGGTGAATGAAGCCAGAGGGCTTCTCCCTAATGATATGAAGGCTAATATTCAAGAACACAAACGTGATGTCCAGATTAAAGTTTTATACCCACCATGTCTAGTATTGGTGAGCAGGAAATAACTAATAGTAGTACTATTTCTACATTAATTGAAGCAGTGTGTATAGTTTTATTTTTAAAATGCTATTAGAAATAGAATTTTTCTGATTCATTTTTAAAAAGATATTAAAACTTTGACATCATTAAAGCATAGAGAAAAAATAATAAAGATATCTAAAAAATATTCATGTCAGTAAACTTCAATAAAATTTGTAAGCAAACAATATAAAATTCCTCAGCCTCTGATACCAAAATAAACATTTAAGAAAAATAGTAACAATCATAGCCTCTTTGGTGAAATGTTTCCAAAAGAGCTAGCTCTGACCCTCACTGGGTGTTTTAGGTCTACTACATGAAACAGGGGTGCCCAACCTGCAGCCCGCCAGCTGCATGCCACCCAGGATGGCTATGAATGTGGCTCAACAAAAAATTTGTAAATTTACTTAAAACATCTTGAGATTTTCTTGTGATTACATGTTATCATGTATTTAATGTGTGGCCCAAGACAACTCTTATTCTAGTGTGGTGCAGAGATGTCAAAAGTTTGGACACCATTGGAGAAGCCACAATATCTACAAACTTAAAAAAGAAAACAGCAAAAAATGCAAACCAAGAGGAACTATTTTTTTCACCAGTTTTACATTTTGAAAAATAGGTCTAATCTGTTTGCCTGCATAACATATTTTCTAGGGAAAACTTTATTATTAAGAGGCACACAGCCAGGAGAATAGAAAATACACAAATACAGCTGAGTATGTTACTTTCTACTTCATTTGATCAAAACCCACCCAGGCTTCAAATCAGAAAAACACGAAAACCTTTTAACTTCATTTACATGATGCCAACTAGGTGTATATAAAGAGACTATCATCTGTAGGAAAGAAGTACTTATTCTATAACATCTGTAGTACTCTGAGGCAATCAGAGGTGGTGAAACACTTGTACAAGAATAATGTACTATTGCACAGGTACTGTTTTACAATACCAGACACACGGCAATGCATTATGTTAGTCAACATAACAGATTCCCGATAGCAACTACATCAGTGATTCATGAAATCAGTTGTTTATACTGAGTTTACACTCGAAAGCTAATACTTGGTATTTCCCATGAATGCATTTAGTAAGAGACTAATTAGTGAAAGTCAGATGCAGTAGCATTTTGCCTAAGGAGGGGGTCTTCATCTCTTTCTGACTTTCACACTTATGATTTCTAACTATGTCCATATTCCAAGGTCATCTGCCCAGCCTATCTTCCCAGCTGTGGAGTCTCAACTGTCACCTGTCTTCTTTCTATCCTTGAACACTTGATGTTATTCACAAACTTAGGGCACATGTACTTTCTTCTGTCATGCAGTTTCCCAATGACCAGAACAGCATAAAATCACTGCTACTCACATTCTGAGTACTATGTTCTATTATTTTGTGCTATTTTTCTTTTTAAAATATGAGATGTTTAAGTTATACAGAATAAAATAAAATAGACTGTCTCCACCACCTAAGTTGAACAAATCTATTAATACTTTGCCATCTACTTCAGATTTGTTTATTTCAGAAAATAAAGTATTACTGACATAACTGACACTTCCTTGCTTTCACCTTCCTCCCTCCTTCCTTACAAACACACTCCAACTTTGTTTAGTGTGTCCAACTATCAAAATATGCAGCGGGCTGGGGTTCATGCGACATAGATCTGGTCAATGAGATAAACAGAGCCTGGGGAGACATTTCCCACAAAAAAACAAAAGCCCCACTAGGAAAATATCCCTTTGCTTCTCACATCTTCTTGCCTGGAATATGGACATGAGGCCTGGAGATACAGCATCCACTTTGTGAACAAAAGGCAGCAATCTGGAGGTGTATTATTCTGTTGATGGATGTTCAGGCTGTTTCCAGTGTAGGAATATTAAGGATAAAGCTACAGAAAACATTCTTGTACAAATCTTTTGTGGACCTGCTTTTTATCTCTTGGGTAAATAGTTAGAAGTGACATGGCTAGGTCATGAAGTAGGTGTATGTATAATTTTTTAAGTAACTGCCTAACAGTTTTCCAAAGTGGTTATATACCATTTTATGTTGCCACATATTGAGCACCGATACCTGATGAATCTACCTCTTTTTCTTCTTGGGTAATCTTAGCCCTTTACTTTTTAATATATAATTTAAAACCCCAATAAGGTCTTTTGGCATGACTAGAATTTTACTAAACATATAGATGATTACTTTGGGGAGAACTGATAACATGATATGTATCTACTTTTAATAATTAAGTAAGTGGTCCAATTCAGTTTAATGATTTATATAGAATTTTTACATTTGTGTTAAAGAGAGAGGGCTATGATTATTTCATAGTGCCCTTGTGGGATGCTGGTAAGATTAGATTTAGCATCCCATGAGGAACTGAGTTTTTCCATTCTGTTCTCTGAAAGAATTTATGTAAAATAAAACTTGCCTATATTTATAAGTATGGTAAAGATTATCTCTAAAGTTGTCTATAGAATAATGATTTATTGTGGCTATGTTTTGACTACTAGTTTATTTAAACACTATTGGCCTATTTTATTTGCTCTTAAGTAAATTTTAGTACTATATTTCCTAGAAAATTGTTTATTGGATTTATTTTATATAAAACTGTAGCATTTACTTTGTTTTAAAATTTCATCTGTATCTGTAGTTCTGTTCCCCTTTGTTTCTGATATTTGCTTCTTTTTCTTGATCAACTTTGTTAGAGATTTTCCTATTTTATTAATCTTTCAATTCTTTCCTTTGGAACTTTGGTGAGGACATTTTCATTCTAACATCCATGTTTCTGTTAACAGCTCTTTTATATTTTCTATCTCTTAACTATTCTGTGCTTCATGCTAAATGATTTAATCAGATCCTTTTCTGAGTTATTTAATTTTTTTCAGCTGTATCTAATCTACTATTTGCCTTGTCCACCCAGTTGATAATTTAAATTAATACACTCACACAATTTTTATTTAGCTTTTCTTTTCAATTATTCTTATTTTCTATTATATTGTTCTCTTTCATATTATGGCGTCTACTTTTTCTTTCATGCCTTTATTTTAAATGGACTAATTAGTAAAGCCTTTGAGATTAGTCTTATTTTCAGTTCCTGGAAATATGAAGATTGTTGTAACATTTTTATTCTTTTGTGTAGAGTATCTCCTGACTACCATTCATTATATAATTTATAATTCTTTTTATGGTAAGCTCATCATCAGTGGAGAGTCCTGTGCATCCTAGCTGAAGAAACACCATTTTGAGTATTTCACTTCTGCTTTTTTTGAAGTCTCAAGGGGTTTCAATGGTTCTCGAAGAGTTTTCCCAAGCAGGATAGCATAAATGCAGATCCTCCAATTTCTTATGGGTAAGCTATTCTTTTCCCCAACCTTCTCTCCCTTGTTAACCTCTGAGGAGATGGCTAGCTCCTTTGTCACTACACAGAACCAGAAGGTAGTTATTTAATATGGCTTGAGACTCAGGCTCTGTAGAAGGCATTTGATTTTAGTTCCTCACTTCAGGTGGGCC